CAAATCATAATTTCACAACACACAAACTCAAAATACACTCATACTCTCAAAATCACATTTAAAAATTCTACCAAACGCTACCTTAGTTTTTCATGAATTTTTTGATTTTGAATGTCGAAATTTTAAATTCATTGACAGTATGGTGTGGGATCCTACGCTCTTTCATGTGGGAGGCAGATGACAAGGATGACGAAATTGAGAGCGAAAATGACATCGGCTACAGCAGCGGCAGCCATGTTGAAGCTTTTTAAGGTTTGCTCTTCTGTCTCATGGGGTGTGGCTGCGATCGGTTAGACATTACTCAAAGAAACAGAGTAATATGAAATGGAATTAAAGAGATCTTTTTGTTATGTATGAATATGATATAATTAACACTAATGTTGTATTACGTTTGAGTAATAACATTAACAATAACCGAATAATGAGGGGGAAGAGAGGACTCTAAAGATAAAAAATGAGAGAGAGAATAGATGGAGAAAGTCTTTTGTTTTTTCTTCGTCCGTTTTGTTGTTTGTAATTTGTATAGTACAGTAATCTTTTCATGTCCTTTGGATAAAAAAAAAATTCAATGACTAGTCTCAATTTAATTACTTCCGTGTCATTATAGTAGGGCTAGTGATATGTTATTGATTGGTGATATCCAATTCATAATGACTTGTATCATTGTTGTACTCAAGTTTTTTTTCCCCGACATAGATAGCCAAAATCCCAATCAAGTTTTTGAACCATGAATCCTACCAAGTAAAGTGAGGACTAGGTCTTTCTGCAATGATTGTGTTGTGGTAATTCAGCAATTCATGTTTGAAATTGAAGTAAAATTATGTCTTGTTTTGATTTATTATAAAAAAAATACACACACACACAGAAAATTACTCAAGACTTGTTTGGACTTGATGGAAAACCTATCATAATACATGACAATAGAATATGATTCTACTCAAGCTCGTATCATATCCATACTTGTTACAGCACAATGAACTTTTTCTTAATTTTTTTCTTCTTCATAATTTCGAACAAAAAAGTGAGTAAATAGAAAATGTAATCATAAATAACATTCTTAAAGGGAGATGCAGATCAAGTTAATTACATATTATCATCAACCACTTGAGACAACAGCTTTCACCACTTCATTTGGGAGGGTGCTTAGAGACTTTGGAGTTGTTTATGGAGTTGCTTATGGTCTCTTTTGCTCTTCTACTAATTGTCTTCCCAATGGCAACCAATTTACCCTTGCTGTCTCCGACTTGTTCACAGTCTTGCTGTTGGCCAAGCAATGGAGATTTTGTATGTGATGCGTTGATCTGTACAATTTGATTTACTCATGAGTACATTTCTGAACTAAAGTTCATCTTATTTCATGCTAACCGTATTTGGTGCTTTAACTCCCAAAAAATTTACAGCCACCGACATTATATGTCCTTGGTGGGACTGGAGTTAGACTATGACTCAGCTCGTATTGAGGGAGTGCCTTAGATGTCCAGTACTCCAATGAGTAGTGGTTGAGAAAATGAATGGTTCACTGCTATTTTATTATCTTCTTGTGTCTCCTAACCTTACAATCAGTGATTTGAGTTTTAACAGCTTTACCTTCTTTGTTTCTGGTCTAGGAGGTTGACCTTTTTGCTGCTGATAGAAGCTTGGCAATGGCAGTGCTTTGAAAGTGTCTACTCTTTTGAATTTTTTCCCTCCACTTCACCTCCTTCCTGTTTCTTTACTCATAAACTGCCTTTTACTAGAAATCATATTAACTAATGCAGTGAAAAACTTGCACACACACAGCATTACTTTACCTTGGCATCTAGTTGTTGGCTTCTCTTTTCAGTTCTTTCCCGAGTTTTGTTCTTAGATTTGGG